CACATTTGGTATGTTCCAGGAAGCTTCTGATTAGTAAGCAGTTTTGTTGTGGCTGGCCACATTTAGATCCTTCTTTGAACCTTCAAGTTATTAAAAATGTCCTTGTGACTTGGGTGACTCTGCCAAGGTGGTCTGTATATTTAGAGGAATGGGTTTCTCTGGATATTCAGCTAGCAAGACACCTTTGCAAATAGAAAAAGGTATTTATTGAGAGGGTGTGTAATATGAGAATGCTAAGAGATGAAGAAAGGAGCAGGTGTTCTTTGAGAGGATGCTGGGCATTACAGCAGCCTGCCAGAGAGTAGGGAGTGTTAGGTGAATGGCTGTTTTCTGTGAAGGTTGATAGGGTATGTGGGCAAATGAGACAGTGACCAAGTACTAATGTGGTAATCTTTTTTTTTTTCATGTTGATGGTGGTGGTTCTTTCTTGTAATCTATTGAGAGGAGCAGTTGTTTTTTCTATCTCTATGCTTAAACAAGTCAATATTTCTGTACTGGCAGTAGATTACATAAAATGCACTGGCCTCAAGTTAACTACTTAAAATGACTAGGCTGCATCAAGATTGGTAAATGGACTGCCCTCTTGGACTACAGAATGAATAAACAGTGGGATGAGTTACAGTGTAGCCAACCTTTGACCTTTGTGACCAGCTGGGAAAGGTTATGGATGATGTGGACCTACAGAACTTAAGCACATTTTTGCATTGGCATCACTCATTGTACCCACAAAGCCAAAGTAAAATTAAGTATGTCTTCCCACTCTATGATCTGAAGTAGCCTGTTGGTCTCCTACCTTCCCTCAGACTCAGGACGTTTGGAAACATGCAGTTACCTAGATATTGGGCAATCTAAAATGTACTTTTTCCTCTTTTGTAGCCCTGCCCTATTCTCAGTTAGGATACAAATGAGTTTTTAATTTGTCATTTACTCCTGTTTAGGATGAGGTCAAAGAAAAAAACTAAGGTAATGAATTCTTCATACTCATGTCCTCGTCTTGGCCACAAACTTAATAGCACCTTATTTAGTTTTTGCTTTTCTAAAACTGAGCAGTAATCTTCAGCTTTTTTCATGGTGGTGATTGTTGGTTGTAAAGTCATCCATCACAAAAGGGAATAAAAGTGGTAAATATAGGCAACCATTTTTTTTTATCTGTTATGTTTTTATAACTTACCTATTTGTAAAGGGCTATCTGCTGCTGAACTTTTCTGTTATCTAAGCCAGAAGCCCTCTACTCTAGGTCAGCTTCAGGTTCAACACCAGATTGCCTGGTAAGAATGTGCAGACATAGTTTAAGACTAGATAATCAAGAGAAAAAGGAAAAGAGAGAAATTTACACCTCCAGTTTTGCCACTTGAGGTGAAATTCAATTTTCTGCCCAATTCAAGTAATTATTGTGTTTTGAAATTTGAATATATATATGTATTTTGGGTTTCTTTTGGAAATGATTGGTGTTGGCAGTACTTAGTCTTTGTTTTCTTGCTCATTTTTCCTTGAATCCCACAACAAATATTTAAATATTTGTGAGATGGCCAATCAAGACTCACAGGGCCCTATTTGTCCTCTTGAGCACTAACCCTTAGCAGGATTTCAGTCACAGGCTCCAACCCGAGTCTAGGGAGAGATGAACCCTTCCAACACATCTTTAGAAGAGAAGAGTCCTGATTGCTCTGATGATGTTAAATGTTTCTTTGCACTCAGCCCACTTGAACTAATCTTTATTTCTTCAAAGCCTAAAAAAAAGACAAAGAGCTCTTTGGGCTACCTTATATTTTAAAATGGTCCCAAACCCTGTCCTTTTTCCTAAAATACTCTTTCCTCAGCTATCCATATAACTTGCTCCCTCATTTCCTTCAGAACTGATGCCATATCATCAGAGAGGCCTTCTGTGGCCACCCCATATAAATAGAAATAACTACCCCTAAATGCCCTAGCCTACTGGTTAATTTTTCTGTATAACAGTTAAACCTCTATGAGACACATTAAATATATATATTTAATATATAACTTTTTTTTCCCTCCTACCTATACTCTGCTCACATTAAATATATACATTTTTTCTCTCCCAATAATATGTAAGCTTCATGAGCTTAGGAACAGGGAGGGTCTTTTTTGACCAATTTTGTATATTTTCCCTGGAACAGTGCCCAAGACATTTGATAAATATTTGTTTAATGAATAAAGGGACGAACTCATTTTTATTTCAGTCTCCCACACTCAGCAGTTCTTAGGCAGCCAGCTTTTAATGCTGGAAGGGACCCAGCAGACAACCATGAAATGTCATAAATGAATTCCTGAGGGCAATTTTGTGATTCCAGTGTGTGTGAACACAAATGGTCTGACTAGACGGCAGTGGGTCAACACCCCCTCAATGGAAATCACCCTGAGCCATTCCCTTGTGGTGGTTCTAAGAGAAAGAGAGGGTCAGGAGTTGCCTTATCCTGAGGGGAAGCCTGTACATTGTACACGTTTTCTGTGTATTTTAGAAGCTGTCATGTTAAATCCCAAAGGCTTATCTCTGTGGGAGTTTTTCTTCTAAGGCAGTCTTCTGAGTCAGCATTCTGTCTGGGAGTCTCCTTTTACCTTTTTGTGTCTTTCCCTGGTGAAGAGCTGAACAAATAGGAAATAGTTGATCTATCACATTGAAAATGAAACAGAAATAAACCTCTAGTAAGCCAGCCTTGGCTCACTCTTTTTTAATATTTATTTTTTGTTTGTTTAGTTTGGGGGGAACAGCATAGCAGGAATTCTATGTGAAGTCTATATATAACTAAATAGACAGTTCTTTTGCATTATGTCTTCTCTTCCCTCCATCCCTCATGGGTCTTTTAATTTGGGTTCAAGTTTCAGGTACAAGTAGTTTATTTGGAAATGCAGAAATTAGTTGAGAAGTGAAGTAAGATAGGGAAAGGAAGGGTGACTCAGTGAACCGACTACAACTCTGGTCAATTGGAGTTTGATCTGAAGAGGAGAGCGTATAGAATATACACTTTAAAGTTACTCTACCTGGGAACAGGAAGGTAGGATATTGATACACCAGCTCCCTTCAGTCATTTGTTGCATGCTGCTTCCCAGGAATGTTCATTCCCCAGAACAGCCTGCAGCCTCCTACACTTCGGAGAAAAGCCTTGGGCAGAGGTGCAGAGAGTGGTGGTTGGAGATCAGGTGGATTATACAATGCAGTAAGGCCTGAGTGATACGAGCAGGGTATCAAAGAGTGAGCTCCACCTCATTCCTGTTTCTGTTATCACAGTAGATACATGAGCACCATGGCTTTATCTGCTCTTTCGTTTCACCTTTTTCACATCTTTACCCATGGCTAGCTCAGTGCTAAAATCTATCTTGCCTTGCTTTGTTGGGGAATCATCGTGAATCTTATTTCTCATAAAGGCATCTAGTGAGCACTACTCCTGTCATGGTAGTTGTGTACCTGCATGTATATTTTCTATTTTATGTAAGCTCCTTGGGAATCTAGGTACCTTACATATCTTTGTAAGCACCAGAGTTCCTGGCATGTAAGCATTTGTTAGTGTGTAATGAATGAATCTTTCCCCCTAACTAGTAGGTGCTTTTGCCAAACAGACTGTAGGAGGAAAGCCCCTAGGCTCTTGAATCACAGCTTCCTAACTTCAATCAGGATAGTGTCATAAACTGCAGGGAGTTACTGGATGGACCCTAAAGTAAGGGCAATAAGGATTCATCTTTTCTTTTTTTCTTGTTTTTAGGGAAAGTTAAAAATGTACAGTTTAGTAGTAGTAAGTATATTCATATTGTTATGTGACTAACTACCATCCATCTGAAATTTTTCATCTTATAAAACTGAAACTCTGGGGGTGGTTGGGTGGGAGGGTGAGGGGGATAAAGGAGCACAAAAATTCTCAGTTATTGTAAGTTGGTCACAGGGATAGTAGTAGCGCATGGAGAACATAGTCATTGAGACTGTAACATTTTTCTATGTTGACAGATAGTAACTGCACTAGTCGGGGTAAGGATTTAGTAATATGGATAATGAACCACTGTGTTGTACATTTGAAACCAATATGAGATTGTTTATCAATGATACTTCAATACAAAAAAAAGTTTAAAAAAACTGAAACTCTGTACTCATTAAACACTAACTCCCCATCTCTTGGCAACTACCATTCTGCTTTCTGTCTCTATGTTAAGTTGAATCATACAATATTTGTCTTACTGCATCTGGCTATTTTCACTTAGCATGTCTTCAGGATTCACACATGTTCTGGTATGTGTCAGAGTTTCTTTTTTAGGACTGAATAATATTCTATTGTGTGTATGTATGTATGTACCACATTTTGTTTATCCATTCATCCATTGATGGCTATTTGGGTTATTTCCACTTTTTGGCTACTGTAGGCATTCTTCTGTGAACTTTAGTATACAGATACCTGGAGTTCCAGCTTTCAGTCTTCAATATATACCAAGGAGTGGAATTTCAGGGTCATAAATAATTCTATGTTTAACTTTCTGAGGAGCCTCCATACTGTGTTCCTCAGTTACTGCACAAGGGTTTCCACCAGCAGTGGACAAGGTCTTCAAGTTTTTCCACATCCTTGCCAACACTTGTTTTCTGGGTTCCTTTTTGTTTCTTGTTTTTTTGTAATAGCCATCCAGCCAATAGGATGTGAAGCACTATCTCATTGTGGTTTTGAGTTTCATTTCCCTGATGATTAGTGATGTTGAGCACCTTTTCATGTGCTTATTGGGTATGTGTATATTTTCTTCAGAGAAATATCTGTTCAAGTGCTTTACCTGTTTTTGAATTGGGTTGTTTGGGTCGTTTTGTTGCTGGGTTTTAGCAAACAAGCCTTTTGATTTACAAATACTTTTAAGAGGGTGTTTGCTGTATGGTGTCTTATGAATGTGTGTTCATTTATCTTGTTTATTAAAAGAAAACTTTCTCAGTAAAGATAAGTAGATAGATTTAAGTATATTATCAATCAGTTAATATATAAATAATAAACATATATTTTTTGTCTCAACAGTATATCCTTTCAGGCTCTGATGACTTTAACCTGTACATGTGGAGAATCCCTGCAGATCCAGAAGCAGGTGAGTATATCCCTGGTATGAAACAAACTTCTGTTAATGTAGTCTCTGTTGACAATTGGCATGCTGTGCCCCTGCAGGACAGATCAATAGCAATGGAGGAAGATATTTCTCTTTTAACATAGTAAGAAGTTTAGCAGAAAAGTGACCAAAGGAAATTTTAAAACAAAAATTAGAAGCCAGATTTAACTGTAGCCTTCATACACAGCCTAATCTGATGAATGATGCCCAGGTTTTTTCCTCTAAGAACTTTTCTTTAGATTTTGTAGATCTCCTTTATGTCCATTGTCCTCTCTCGTATTTCATACCTGAAGTATTTTCATCTTGCTTTTACATGATGTCCCTTTGTTATCCATCTGCACATTCCTGCTTATTACTCCACAAACAGTTGTTAAGGTCATTTCGTTTCCTTGGCTTCCCTGGTAATGTTAACTAAAGGGAAACTTTCTTTCTTGATGGACAGGTATACTCCCTGGGGTTTTCGACCCCAGATATCAAAGAAATTAGGAAAAAATATTTCTGCATTTGCTTTAGGTATATTCTTTAAAAAGCCTACAGCTTTCCTTAAACTTGGATCTAGGCCATCTGAGCTTTGAAACAGCATGGATCATTCTTCATTCTTGATAACAACAGTGTCCACACATGCTTAGTTGAGTGTTATACTGATTGCCTCCTACTGGTAGAAGAATGTCTATTTTTTATTCTCAGGACAGCTCAATACAGCCATCTACTGTGAGTGATACAAGGCATCAAACTGGGAAATGGCCATTAGAAAAGTGATAGAGGATATGCCAAGTGTATTACACAAAATGTGTCTAGAGCTCAGAGTTTAAGGAAGTTGTTGGCTTGCCTATTGCTGAATTGACAATAATGTTACTAAACATCTACTTTTCAAAACTTGGTGAGGCCCACTTTTAGTGCAACTATCCTGTTGCTGTGGACTGGTTACTAAATAAGTTGCTAAAGTCCTTTTTCCCCTTCTGGAATTTGGAAAGCATGTGTGAAGCAGCTCACCTTTGAAGCACAACCAGATGGGACAGCAGCAGACTATCTGAACAAAAGGTGATGTTTTAGCACTCAAGGTAGTCCTGTATTAAGTCTTCCACCCCCACCGCTGTAAGTCCTAGATTGATTTGCTGAGAAATAATCTTGGGCTTAATTGCATCTTTTACTTGATCTTGACAAGCTTCAAATTACTCAATGTGACTTTTGAAATAAAAAGTGAATAATCTCCCTTCCCCCAGGACTGTTCTCTGTATTCCTTCTCATGTTTGTATAGAGAAAGGGGAAGAGTTAGCAATAAATAGTACTGTAGGTTTCTTCTTCTCTTGGCTGATTCCTGTACTGACTGAGGGTATGGGCCACTGTTAGGCTGTCTTTATAAGGAGATGATTATGCAATCTCTGGGTTGTCAGGGACCTGATAGCTGATTTAGGATTTCAGTATTAAAACTGGGAAATGGGTACCCAGATAGTCTAAAGGTCATATAAACACAGCGTTTTAAAGGAATCCATTTCTAGATTCTCAAGTTCCATATGTATTCTTTCATAAGATCAATATTCCTAAGAGGGTACTCATTCTCCTTTCCCACCTTCCCCTTTCCCTTTGTCTTCCTCTCACTTTACAAACAAAAAACTCAGAAAACAAAAGTACTCCACAAATTTCTGACCCTTTGGTGATGCATTGTCCAGAAGTGTAAAAACCTCCAAGGTGCCAAAAAATCTGAAGCATCTTTAATCATAGGACTATAACCCCCTTATCTTCTCCCTTACATTCTTGTGCACTTAAAGTCAATTGCTTCTTTTTATGTATAATAGGTTTTTATAAAACACTAATGTATATTTGTTTTGATAAGTTGTATTCCAGTAATAATTATAATAGTAGCTTGAATCCAAGACAAATGTTTAAAGAGACTTAGGGCCACAGTAAATACAGAAAAATTTAAATGCATATTTATATTTTTGTTAGTGAAACTGTGGTAGAGTTTTCATAAAAATATATTAGGTTGAAATTTTAGGAAGGGTAGGTAAATTGGAAGCAATCATTTCAAAGAATACAAGGAAATGATGTAAAATTTCTATTAAGAAAGAACTTGTTAGACTTCAGATTCCATGTAGGATGCAATAAGTAGCTCCCACTGCAGTAACTATAAAAATCCAATTACAAAATCCTTATTTTTAAAGATGTCAGAGAGTGTGGCAACAAAGTGTGCTAGAGGAACCGAAGTTCTGACGAAGGAAGAGCCCTTCCAAGCTGAGCAGAAGGTGCTGGCCATTTTCTTTTCCTAGGGGCATCTGTGCACAGGCTACAGATTGGACTGCCAAGGATAGACACTTCTAGGAAAAGAAATGAGAGTTTTTGATGGCCACGTGGGTTGATGACAGATTGAAATCTAGAGGTGCCTCAGACACAAAGCCAGCCTTCTCTCTGACACAAAGCCAGCCTTCTCTCTAGGACATTTGCTGAGTGTTGGGGTTGTACTAGGAGCACAGGGTTTGGGTTAGAAAGGCAGAATGAAATCCCCACAGTAATACAGTCAGTACTTAGGAAACAAAGTCCCCCTGGTGGGAGGGGCCTATCCTGCTCAGCCTTTGCCAGATGTTGAATCTGCATGGGAAAGAAGGATGAAGAACTTAGCTTAAAACCTCCAAAGGACAGAACATTCAGAGCAGAGAAACAGAGACTTCCCAAATTCTCCATCAAAAGCCCAAGAAGGGTTCACTCAAGAATAGGGCTAGAGCAGAAAGGCCGAGTGAAATATTCTGCCTCTGGATCTCTCTGTCCCTGCAGCCATCTCAGTCTCTGTCCTCGGTGTTGCCACCAATCCAGCCTCTGCTCTCCTGCAGCTGTGTAGCCCAGAGTACTGGGCAGAGCTCTTTATATAGTCAGTAATAATGTATTGCCCACATGTGTGCGGTGAGCAAGGCAACCAGGGTCAGGTGAGAATTCTGGCTAGGAACTTTGATTTTCTCTACAGTCTGCTAGGATGCCATAGTAAAATCTCACAGACTGGATAGCTTAAATAACAGAAATGTATTTCTCACAGTTCCTGAGGCTGGAAGTGCAAGATCAAGGTGGTAGCAGGGTTGGTTTCTCCTGAGGCCTCTTTCCTTGGCTTATAGATGGCTGTCTTTACACTGTGTCCCTATATGGCCTTTTCTCTGTGCATGAGCACCCTTGGTCTCTTTCCTTGAAAGGACACCAGTCATACTGGATTAATGTCCTACCCTAGTGACTTAATTTAACCTTAATTACTTCCTTAAGGGCCCTATCTCCAAATAGAGTTGCATTCTGGGTTAGGGCTTCAACATATGAATTTGGTGGGGAGAGGAGACCATTCAGTCCATAACAGTCTCTTGTTCTTTTACACTCAATATCCATCTTACAATAAAAATTATAAGGCATGAAAATGTGGCCAGTGACAAAGAGGGAAAAAAACAATAGAAGCTGACCCACAGTATTATCCTGCTATTATTAGCAGACAAAGATTTTAAATATGATAAAGAAAACACAGACAAATGGATGAAAGGATGGAGAATTTCAACAGAATTGAAAGCTATTTAGAAGCATGTAGACATTTGAAAACTGAAAAACACATCTAAAACTAAGAATTTGTTGGGTGGGTCTAACCTACAGAGGACAGACTTGGTCAACAGAATACAGGTCAATGAAAGATATCCAAACTGAAGGACAATGAGAAAAGAGAATGGAAAGAACAGAACAGAGGGTAAGAGACAAGTGGAACACAGATGATCTAACATACATGAAATTAAAGTCCCACAAGAGCATAAGTGACAGAAAATGAGGCAGAAGCAATATATGAAGAGATAATAGCTGAAAAAATTTTCCAAAACAAATACACCAATTCTCAGATTCAAGAAACTCAGTAACCACAAGCAGGATAAATACAGCACACCTGGGCACATCATAGCAAACAAAAGACAATGTGAAAGAGTCCAAAAGTAGCCTGAGAAAATGGACAAATTACCTGTAAGTAAGCGACAGTCAGATTGATGACTTAACTATGGAAGGTAGAATGTAACAGAATGGTATCACTAGAGTGCGTAAAGAATTAAAACCTGCCAACCTGGAATTCTGTTTCCAGGGGAAATATAATTCTAGAATGTAGGTAAAATGAAGACATTTTTAAAGAGAAATTACAGAATTTTAACATAATCACTTAACAGCCCTTAATGAAAGCATCTAAATATTGAACATCAACAGCTGCTAACATCACAAAAAGAAAATTAGATATTATAAGCCTCCTGATGAAGGCACACAACACTACCTGTAGTCTTGGAGAATCAAAACCTGGTCAGACCTCAGGATCCAGCTTTCAATTTGCAGGACGTAGAGAGGACAGAAGAACATATTTTACAACATTGTGAGGATGCAATCCACACAGTCTAGACTGTCAGAAACTACAGGTTAAGTGGTCTATGTACTTAAACACATACAGTCTAATAAAAAAAGGAAGGATGAACAGGAGGAAACATACTGCTTAAGAAACCTTAAAGACATATTAAATAAAATGAAAATATAAGCAAAAGTAAAGTGCATTTGGGAATGCACACTTGGATGAATAGGATTATTTAAAAGCACAGAGAAGTGATTAATATAGAAGTCAGGATAATGGTTACTTTAGGAGGAAGAAAGTCGGGTTGCAATTGGAGTGAGGCATATAGGAGCCTCAGAATGGCCAGAAAATTTACATTTCTTGACCTAGGTGTTGGCTCTAAGGGTGTTCACCATATAAAATATTAAGCTCTGATGGACAATGACTGCAATGGGAAATGTGGGGGGAGTCTAGTAAACATAATGTTCCTCGTGTAATTGTAGAGTAATGATACCAAAAAAAAATTAAGCTCTACTTTTTATGCTATTTTCAGTGTCTTGTTTTATGCAGTGAAAAAAATTAGAAAAATTAGTAAATAATCATGGATCAAAGAATAAATCACAAGGGAAATTTTTCTTAACTGAATGAAAATTAAAACATAACATCC